AAAAGGGTGCCCTTGTCTTCTTAGTTTTACACTGGGCAACCCATGTTTCTCTTGTGGCCCCTCCTGGGGCGCCAGCCCCAAATTCCCCCACAAAACCAGTTTGCTTCGCAAGTTGGTGTTGATGGACTTGTCATACAGGACTTGGTGTCACTCATCACGTCAACATGGGCTTTGAGCCACTGTCTAAAAGACAGGATCAGAATCAGGGGGCCTTTAGAACAAGAGGAAAAGACGCCGCCAGTTGGGCAACTGGGCAACTGCTGGAATAAGTATGTATATATATATATGTATATGTATATCTATATATATATATATGCTATATCTGATAGACATATACATACACAGACGCCAAACCAGATATATATATATATATATACATATATATATAGATATCAACATGTATTGTATGTATGTATATTGTGAATACTCACCTATGCATTCATGTGAAATTCAACATCCGGTCACATGTAAAATATTGGCTCACGCCATTTGGCACTGAGCGGCGGGTCCAGCGCATCCAGCTCGCAGCTGCTGCCTCCACAAGGCGTCGCTCAACCGAAGGCTTCAGGGCCGAAGGTGGCGCAGACCGCTGGCTTTGGGTCCGCGTCTTTGGGGGCCCCCAACCCCCGATTCATAAACTGGGGTTGAAGAAAATGGGGTCAACATACCCGAAAAGGTTGGCTTCCCGTGTTGAGAGCAAAACCACCCATATAGAGGTCCAAACAAGAAACACCCAGATGCCTTTGCTGAGGTGGCCAAACAAAGGCAAAGGAAAAGCCGAAATTGGCTTTTCGGGGTACCTTAAGACACCAAATGTGCAGCTCAAAGCGGCTTCCCAAACTAACCAATGGAGGAAAAGAGTTTCGAGCCTCAGCTTCCTCTAGTAATGATGGTGCTTTCAGCTTCATCTAGCAATGATGGTGGTTTCAGCTTCTAGAAATGATGGTGGTTTCAGCTTCCTCTAGTAATGATGGTGGTTTCAGCTTCCTCTAGAAGGCAAGAGAATGCTCCTAGAGAAAGGGAAATATATATATAAAAATAACATATGGAACATAACTAGAGTTCTTCAAAGGGTCCGTTTTGTCACATCCAGGCTACGCTTGTAGCGATCCATGTAAAGGATTTATCAACGGGAAACCTTCCCAAAGGAGGAAAGCCTTGATAATGAAGACTACGGAGGAGTAAGGTAGACTCCTCAAGAGGTCCGCTAGGCGAAGGTAGAGTAAGGTGTAGAACACATAGATGAACAAACGTTTTTTGGGAAGTCCGTAAACGTAAGACATGGATGAGCAAACGTTTTCTGGAAATCTGTAAACGTAAGAAATGTGTTCGATGGCAAGATCAACAACAATCAAGGCTTGAAGGCTGCTCCCAAACGTACCGGCTGATCGCTTCTGGGTCAGCTGCGTGGTAGCGCTTTAAAGCAATGGTCTGGGAGTGACCGCGGTAATGGTCCAGCATGTCCCGAGAAACTCTGCTGCCATCCGCCGCCTTGACTTCACTGGACTTCTCCAACAACTCCTTCTCCACCTGTGTCCGGATGGCGTTGCACGACACGCCGGACACCTTGTTCATGGCCCCTCGAAGGTTGTCCTTCGAGAAATACTGGAAGAGCGCCACTTCGGGCAACCCTTCCGCCGTAGTTGCCGGTCCACCTTTGATCTGTGGACCGTCTGGCAACTTGAAGTACTGCTTGAGTACTGGGATATCTTGCTCTCACGAAGTAAGCCCTTGACATCTTCCTTTTCTTGACCGGCGCCGTCTTCGTGGCCTGAGCGGAGTAGCAAAAATGCCCGAAAAGAAGTTGAAGAAGTGCAACCCCCACTCAAGAGAAAGAGTCGTGGTTGACCAAGTCACACTTTACTCTAGAGTAACATTTGAGATGATTCAACCGACACCTTGCTCTAGAGAAAGTTTTGCCCTTGCCTCAGCTCCCACACAAACAAACACCGCGACTTCGTCCTGGTCCCGGATAAAGATATTCCTTTCCAGGATGAGCGAGTGCCATGCCTGGTTCCGCTCCAAAGTGATGAACGTGTACCAGAAACACAGCCAGGCCGAGCCGTAGAGCCGATTCTCCTCAGGCGCGTCAGCGTCCAAAGCTGCAATCTTGGCCCGCAGCTTGCGCTGCTTCTGTTCGTGAAACCAGACAGCGCCTCTGACCTCTTTGCCCTTGCTGGTCCTCTTGCGGGCCTCAGCGTTGCCGGTGGCTTTCAAATGGGAGAGGAAGCTGTTCCTACTCTGTGCGCGCTTCTTGGATGTCTCCTTGCCCACAAGGGGTTCAGTGCTCAGCACGCACCACGGTACTGAGCCCGCGTGTCTGAAGGCGAATCGTTTTGCTGTCAAAGGTGGTGCACGGCAGGTTCTGGTATCGTCATCCCCCATCCACCGGAAATATGCCGCTTCTCACGGAAACAGTCCTCCAGCTTAAGGGCGCAATCAAGCCCTCACGGACCAGGAAACCGTGACTTCGCCACTGATGGCGCCTCTGGAGGAAGCGGGGCGCTTTGGGTCACCCTCCGCAGGCGTGGTGCAAAGGAGCCGCTCGAACCGCTCCTTCTCACCATCCTTTCAAATTGGAGTTTGTTTTGTATTTGATCCTTACTCGGTGCTGAAAACAAGGACTAGAGCAAGGTTTCTAATTAATGAAATTCCACACCTTAAACTACACGATCCTGACCCCTGCTCTATTACGCATGAAAACCTTCACAAAGCCAATGGAGCAAGGTGTGGGGACCAAAGCGTGGAGGAGTAAGGTGTCGGAGACGCGTCAGTACAGGAGCAAGGTTCACAAGCTGAAAAGAAGACTTAGGAACGCCTTGTCACAGAAGCCCTGGAAGAGAAAGACTTGTCAAAAGGAACGCCCTGTAAGAGAAAGTCTTTTGAAAACGAACTCAAGGACGAGATCATATGCGCACTGGTTGCGCTCCAACGCGAGCATCACAAAATGGAAGCAGAGCCAGGCTGCGCGGAGGCGGGCCGCCAGGTACGACATATACAGCCAATTCTATTGGGGCGTCTGGCTTGGCCTCCATCGCCCTGATCGATGGCCCTCCGGTCTTTCCTGGGCGGTCCGCTTCTTTGCCTCGGCGTTTCCCGCTGCCTTCAAGTGGTCGAGAGCGGCGGCCATCTTCTTGCGACGGTGCTCCTTGGGCCTCTTCACCAGCACACATTGCACCAACGTGCCCCAATCTTGCTGATGTATAGCAGTTGCTTTGGTTGCTCTTGGGGTTGGCTTAGTTTTGTCGTTTTGTGGTTGTCAGGACGGGCGGGTCAGCCTGTTAAAATCGAAACCGCAATGACGACAATGACATTGAGTTCCTCCTTGTCATGGATGTTCTTCATACTCACGTTTGATCGGGGTTGGCTGAGTTTTGTCGTTTTGTGGTTGTCAGTACGGGCGGGTCAGCCTGTTAAAATCAAAACCCCAAAGATGACAATGACATTGAGTTCCTCCTTGTCATGGATGTTCTTCATACTCACGTATAATCGTGGGGTTGGCTTAGTTTTGTCGTTTTGTGGTTGTCAGTACGGGCGGGTCTGCCTGTTAAAATCAAAACCGCAATGACAATGACATTGAGTTCCTCCTTGTCAAGGATGTTCTTAGGTCTTCATACTCACGTATACTGTACTGATATTGACACTTTTCGCGTTGGCTTTGTGCTGTCATCAGCAGGAGCAGCTCAGGCTTTAGGAAAAATACGGTTTAATAAGGCTTGAATTTGGTCATCGCATGACCTTCATACTGATGCATCTTGAACACTTAACATTACCTTTCAACAGTTTTCCAACAATCATTGTCATTAAGTGCAGTCAAACGTTAAATAAAATGGGGGGAAATTACCTAAAACATGCAGGGGCGTTAATTGGTTAAGATGCCATCGAGCCCATGGCCTTCAACCCGCCCAAGCCGCCGCCGCGTCCCCTTTTTTCGCGCGACGCCTGAAGGTTGACAAGGCGAGCCATCTAATTATTTGCCAGGCTTTGTGCTAGACATGAGCTGCTGCCGGTAATACTCAGCCCTCATCTTGTCTGAAGACCAGTGTTTGCCTTGGTTGTTTTTCTGAAACTGGTTCCAGCGCGACAGCGGCTTTCCGCCACGACGCTCACTGTCACGTCTCTTCTGGTCGTTCTTGTTCTCTTGGATGAACGCGCTTGTCGCGGACCGCGTTGAAGGCCCAGTGATCTCGCCGCAGCATTGGCACCTGCTGTCCTGGGTGGCAGAGTCTCAGGTTAGCGGGCGGACTTGGGCCAACCTTACACCTGCCTAAGCCCACTCGTGACCTTACTTCGTGGCATTTCGTGGCCAAGCAAGTCAATGTCAACCCAAATTGCAACATAGGCGCAAATGCACATAACAGCTGGGACGTTACTCGAAAGACCCTTGAATGACAATTTTCAGGCTCAATGCTTGGCGTTTGAGGATGAAATCTTGAGGGCCTTCCAAACGCAAAGAGGCAACACGCCCAACTCTCAGCTGAGCTGGGCGGCCTTAGCCACCACCCACCTAAAAGAAACCGGTTCTTTGACAAAGCGTCTGCTGGGGGTGTCAACGGCGGTGCTGGTAGGCTGCTGATCATGTCGCCAGCCTTCTGCAGCAGGCATCGCAACAGCCATTTCAAGACTTCATAGATGACAATGCCGATTGCAATCTCAAGCACCAACGGCCACCATGGCTCTGCCTGCCCGTCCATTGAGCTGGTCCCTGCTCGAGACCCAACTGCTGCGGGCAGCGACGCTGCGGTCATTGCCAATTCGAACGCGAATGTCGACGGGCCTTTCCGAAATTAGCCTTGGTTGACCGCAGCGCAGCCGACGAATCTATGCGAAAATAGACTAAAGCTTTAAGCCACCGCCGATGAGCCCCGTTAAGACAACACGATTGATCGGAAGCCCCTTTGTGAAATGAAACACTTGCAGAACAAATTGACAACTTTTCATGTCTTTCCTGTCCCGCAGCCTTGCCGGGATCATCCTACTGTCGCCTTCATCGCCTCGCGCTTGCACGCCCCAGCACCCCGGGGGCGTTGCGTTGCTGCCACACTACTGCTGGGTGACCCGGCGCAGGGGGATTCCTCAAAAATGTTTTCCATGGGGAAAAAGTGCTTCGCCATACTTAAATGGAAACAACAAATGAGTTTAAAGCAAGTAGGGTCCAATGATGCCCATGCCAGGTTGTTCAACCAAAGACGTTAAATTAAACACATAATACTAACGCCTGCTGAACGGCAATTGTCAGCTCCAGAACGCCTCAAGCAACTTACGAAATAAAGGCCAAGTCCCGTTGACTGACACTGACTCGTCCAAAAATAAGGCAGCGGGGCTCTGCGGCCCTGAGTCGCCCGACTGCAACCGGGCGACTCAGTGCCACTGAGCCCCAGTGACTGTAAGTGACCCATCTTCAGCTCCAAGCCAACTTGACTTCATTGATTGACAATTGAAGTCAACACTGAGGGGCGGCAAGTCATCGGAAGTCCTGAATCACCCGACCTGCATCGGGCGACTCAGGGCCACCGAGTTTAACTCCGTTGATAG